AATGGTTTGCTTTTAATAAATCCACTGCCAGCTATATTTACCTTAAAGTTTTAAACAAATTTACCTAAGAAATTGATTAAATGTTATGAAAACGTATTAAGGATCTGAAAGAGCACAGACGCTTAATAAATTCCAAATTAACAAACAAGGATTTTTTCTTTTTCATGTGTGCGTCAAAATCACTGCTATCTTATTTCTTTCTTGTACTAGCTAATGCAGGTTCAGGCATTCTAAAGCATTTAAGTTTAGAAAAAAGATAACGCCCTTAGTAATCGTAAGAATACTACTTATGATACCTCTGGAAAGATTCATTTAAAAGCCTAAACACTGCTACATTATTATTTTCTACAATCGACGAAGGAAAAAATCAGGAGGCATAATGATTATGGCAAGAAAAAGTCTTCTTTCAGATTTCACTAAAATTTTAGTTTCCTCAGGTGGCAAAACAAATAAAACTCCACATTCTGCCTGCCTTGATTTGTGTGCAGTGTGTATGTGTTCGTGTGTGTCCACGTGTTCACCCTTTCCTTCAATGTTTTCTTTCCTGATTTTTATCTGAAACATGAAAGAGATTTTATAATAAAACATCTATGTAAACTACGTGGCAATCTATGATTAAGAATATAAATGTATGCACAAGAAATTTGTTTTTATTATTTTATGTATTTCTACTATGAGGAATGCACTAGAAACCTAAGTTAGCTGATTTATTTGGCTTTCTTTTATATTGTTAAAAAGCCTTAGTTGAGGTTGTGCTTTTATGATAAACTTTGGATTTTGAATATATTTTTCTCTTAGTTATGAGAAGAAATGGAGAAGTGCAACTAATGATAAATAAGCCATAGTCATAGTCATAAATATATATAGTTCATTTGTATTTAAATGTAGACTTCAGTCAGCAATAATTACAGAAAAAATAGGTCATTAGAATCAGCAATACTCAGATACAGACATACAGGCACTTAGGCATTTATGTTCTCATGTTTTTGACTTATGGAGCTAATCTTAGTCCTTTTTTTTGCAACAGAGTCTTGCCCTGTAACCCAGGCTGCAATGGCGTGATCTCGGCTCACTGCAATCTCTGCCTCCTGAGTTCAAATGATTCTCCTGCCCCAGCCTCCTGAGTAGCTGAGATTACAGGCGCCTGCCACCACACCCAGCTAATTTTTGTATTTTTAGTAGAGATGGGGTTTCACCATGTTGGCCAGGCTGGTCTCGAACTCCTGAGCTCAAATGATCCGCCCACCTCGGCCTCCCAAAGTGCTGGGATTACAGGCATAAGCCACTGAACCCGGCTCCTAATCTTAGTCTCTTAAGATGAATTTATTATAATCACTTTATTACTCAGCCTAAGTTTAGGTTGAAATACTGGATGATGAGAGAAATGTCTTGAATTAATTTCAGATGATCCTACAAAATTCATTAAGTCTATATCTAATAGCAAATAATTGCAGTACAATTTAACTAAATTCTCAGAATCTTTGCTAATGAACTGAATTATAAATATGATAACCAAAGAAACTGGTATGACATTGAATTCTTCTGGTTTTCCAAACTCTGTTTCTTCCAAATGATACATGGTTTCAAGTTCTTCTAGTCACTCATAAATCCATTTCTCTCACTAGTCTCTCATTAGTCAGTTCCTGCACATTTGGATGAATAAATTCATTTCATTTTAAATATTAGTAGAGCTGTCTGATACACACACACACACACACACACACATACACACACACACACACACCAGGGATGAGTTCTGAGAAACACGTCATTAGGCAATTTTGTCCTTGTGAAAACATCACAGAGTGTACATACACAAGCCTGGATGGTATAGCCTGCTACACACCTAGGCTTTATGGTAAAGCCTATTGCTCCTAGGATACAGACCTGTACAGCATGTTACTGTACTGAATACTGTAGGCAATTGTAACACAATGGTGAGTATTTGTGAATCTAAGCATAGAAAAAGTACAGTAAAACTACAGTATTATAATCTGTTGGGACCACCCTCATATATGCAGTCCATCATTGACTGAAACATTGCTATGTGGCCCATGACTGTATGTAGTCGTGTATGTATATATGTATGCCTCATTTTCATAGTGTGGTGTGATTTTTGTATTAGTGTCTATCTGCTGTGTATTAGCAGTTTGGAAAAAACAAAAATTAAGTGTTTTTATCCTTCTGTATGACAACTTGGGGAACTTTTATTATTTTATAATAAAATTTGTATAATTTTAGAAAATTATAATTTATAATATAAAATTTATTATATTAAATTTATATAACTTATCAGAATTTGACAATAATAAGCTATATGTGACATTAATTTCCCATACATGTCTTTTGGATCATGATTGTATCTTAATTTCTCATGTAAAGAAAGTTTTGGACACAATATTAATATTTACAATGAATAACAAATTTACCATTTGAAAAGTAGAAAGGGAAAGATTGAAGTGGAAAGTAAAGAGATATTATTAATAAGCCAGTGTTATTTTGGAACATAAAACAAGCAAACGATGAAGCCCAAATAAAAAGTTTTATGGGAAGTACTTATATCCCAAGTACCATTTTAAAAGGTACATTAAATTTTCTACAGTTCTGAATAAATCAAATGTCTATGTTTACACCTTTATTGGAACTTTTTATTTTATTAGGAACAAATAAAAATTTTCAATGACCTTCAGAAAAATTTTGGAAATGTTTGTGAGGATGGATTGGAACAACAGGATTGAAAAAAATCCAATTGTATTTTAAATTATATTATATTAACTTGGGATACTGAATTATGCACTTATTTTGCCTGTCTGAATCTCTCTGCACTTTATTTTGTATGTGGTATTAAATGCCAATAGGCACTTTGCTCCTATCTTCTGAAATTTTTTCAGGCAAGAATTTAGGAAGATGCAAAAGATAATGAAGGATGAGAATTGTGGTTATTGATGTTAATTCCAAAATATTTCCATTTCATGATCAGCCTTCAGGACTTGGACTGTGCACCAATTAAATGCTGCAGGCTATAACTGTGGCCCTAATAAACAACCTTGAAAATTTTGGCAGACCTTATTAAAAAAGGGGAGCAAGTGAGAAATAATAGATGCTCTAACACAGTCCATCTCTGTGACTGGAAAATTAACTAAATGTGTATTCTGTACTGATATGGACTTGTTGGAAAAATATTTGTCAGTTAGGACAGTAATGTATTTCCTAGCCAGGTCCCATTTTATTTTAATTTGCCAGTAGTCAAATTAGGAAGCAGTTGTTATCAGAACACAACAAGATGATAAAATATGTTGGACCAAAGAAAATGGGGAGAGAAAATGATCATCCTTGATAATGACTGCAATCACCAGAGCACAGGTATGTCCAGGCCTCCCTCTGTGTCCCACCCCCATTTCTTTAAATTTCGCTATTAGCCTAAAAGAAGAAATAACATCAATAATTCTACACAATGGAACTCTGTCATAGAAATACATAATTTAAAATTTTATATTATCTAAATTAGGAAAACCCAGACTCACAATTTTTCAGTGTTAAAGTTTTCTCATCAGAAAACGTGGCTAATAATTACTGAATGGATTGATACATGTGAAGTCATTAGCACCGTGCTTGGCCTATATTTAATATCCAATAAAGTTAACAGCCATTATTATTATATTTCCATGGTGGTTGTAATCATCATTATTTAGCGCTCACCGTTAATCTATTGAAAAAAGAAAGTGTAAAATGAGAAGGGTGCATTAGGATTTTACTTCTGTGGGTTTACATTTTTTTTTTTTTACCAGATTGATCGCCAATAAATTATGCATGTCTAGAATGATTGCTGTGTAAAATTATGATGCACATGACACTTTTACTTTCAAAATTGTTATATCCTCTGTAATGAAATCGTCTCCCTCTCCGAGAAGGTGTCTCTGACTGGGAAATTTAGCAAACTTGTCTATCCAATTCAACGTCCACTCAGCCTTGGCTCTTTCAACTCCCTTCACATGTCTCAGAGAAATAGCTTATTCTGTTTTAGGGTTCTGTTCTTCATTTTGCAGGCAGTGTAGGAGATGTCTGAGCAGTATTGGTGTATGACTATTAAAAACTGGTAATCGGTTAAGAGAACTTTTGGTGCCGAAATATGTAGCTCTAACCAAGGAATTAAATTGAACTAAACTGAACTTTAAAATTCTGGTTTTTCCTTTTATTTTATTTTTTTTTAAGACGGAGTCTCCCTCTGTCACCCAGGCTGGAATGCAGTGGTGCAATCTCAGCTCATTGCAACCTCCACCTCCCGAGTTCAAGCAATTCTCTTGCCTCAGACTCCTGAGTAGCTGAGATTACAGGCATGCTCCAGGACACCCGGCTACCTTTTTTTTTTTTTTTTTTTTAAGTAGAGATTGGGTTTCACCAGTTGGTGAGGCTGGTCTTGGACTCCTGACTTCAAGTGATCCACCCACCTCAGCCTCCCAAAGTGCTAGGATTACAGGCACGAGCCACTGAACCAGGCCAAAATTCTGTATTTTCAGTTAGAGTCAAAGCCCAAGGAGGCCTCTGCCATCTTGTAGCCCCTGCCAATATCCTACTCTTGTCTTCCAGGGTTCCTCCAAATCTCTCTCCAACTATTTGTTATCTACTCATTCAACACCCTTCTTCAACCATCCTCTTGCTTTGGAATTGATGTGAACCAACTAGGCCCACCTTATTAGTGAGTGCCCTTTATTTACAGACTTACCTTTCTGTTGTCCCAATTACACAGATGTTTCAATAGGATTCATCAGATAATACGATTTGAGGTGTGGTGTTCAGATTCACAGAAGCATTGTGTATTAGTCCTCCTGCAAAACTATTTTAATAGCGTTCTTCACATTCTCTGAAATTATAGTTGAAAAGGTAGAATGGATACTTGAGAAAGTTTTTTCTTTTAACTTTAACATGATGCGTAAACATGAAGCTCTTCTTCCTTTGGGTTTTGTTTTACCTTTATTGTTTCCTGTTCTTTCTCTGGGCAGGTAGGAATTCATTTGCCCTGCCTGCCAGCCCCCATAGAGACAGAACCATTACCTACTGAAAGAAGATTTTAATGACGTGATGAAAATATTTTAGAAAGCACCTTGAAGAATAGTATCTTTATGTAACCACTGTTGGAGAGATGTCTTCAGGAGACTGAAGTAGAAGAGTTACTGTCAACATGGAAAGGTGAAGATTTGAAGTGTAAGATTATGAACAGTAGTGTAAAGAAGAGAGTTGAAATATTTTCCGCTAGATAATTCCTTCAAAAGGATCTGATCTGGTTTCTTAGTCTGTATTTCTCTATCACCACATCTGGCCCATCATCTGTATTCAATAAATTGGATTATATGTAGAATGAATATAGTTATGTGACCTAAAGAGTTTCCATAGAAAAGCTAGAGAAAAAAGTAATTAGGGAAAGGCAAAGAATAATCTGCTACAATAATAATTAATGCTTGAAGATAAAGGAGAAAAAAGGCAGGGCAGGCAGTAAATTGAAAGATTAAAGGTATGCTATGTATTTAATATTATTTTCAACCAAAAATTTTTTGTAATAATTATATTTTAAAATCATCTTAAGCAAACTCGCTGTTCAAAACTAGTAATTCCTTAGAAGTAAAAAATCAAACTCTGTAAAGAATATTTTACTCTCCTAATACAATCAGCTGAAGTAGATACGATTTAAACCTTCGTAGATAAAATTTAAACCTTCATTAAAAAAATACTGTGTGCCTACACAATTGTGTTGAAAATTCAGATGTTTACACAGTGGAGAGTAATAACCATTCTTGTACCAGTGAGTTAATAAAACAAACACCTTAATGACACTGTAGGGAAGAGAAGATGCCTTTCTTATGAAACTCTGAGGAGTCATCAATTTAATTTCAAGAATCCTTTTTTATTCTTTTGAGCAATGTTACTGGCAGACATGTTATAGCTCCCCAGAGACTATTTCTAAGCCAACATTGTGACTAAGTTGAAGGAATAGGGAGGCGTGTTGAACTTTTTAATGCAAAATTGACACCTAATAAATCAAAGGCTATAAATGAAAATAATTAACAAGAAAAGATAGAGACTATCCACCAAGAGGATCATATATATCACCAGTTAAAATCAGTCTTTCTACTAAATAATTTCCTTTGTCTTTTTCCTTCTTCTCTAAACTCTTAACATTTGCTTGCTTTTTATCCTTTCCAGGATATTAAGGAGAAACCATTAGTGGTTGCATATTAAAAATGAATGAAAATCTATGTATATGTGTATCAATAAATTTATATCTACATATACACATACATACACACAAATAGCTAGACAAATAAATCACCCTGCTTTCCTAGATGGAATAAAGCCTTTGATTAAGAATTTAGTTAATTTCTGACCAAAACCATTACCCCGAGCTTCTCTGCTTAATGCAAGTAGTGGTGTTTAAGAAGTATATAAGGTTCAGGGACTGGCTTTCCTTAATTGATACTATCTTTTCTGTTACAGTCTCTGCCTTAATTCCCATTACTGGCAAAAGCTACTGTCTCCACCCATTCAGATGAGATTTAAGCATTACTTTCAATTGTTGTGTCCTTCGAGTTGTATGTCTCACAGGGTCCTCCCACATGTGTATTATGGATGTATTATGTGTATTAAGGAATGAAATCTAACAAAATAGGGCAACAGTCAACATTTTGTCCTGTTCAAGCATGCACATGTTTTATTTAAGTATTCTCCAAAGGTCTATTTTTTTCCAGCATAATGCAGATATTATGCTATCCTTTGAAATAAGATATGTGAATTTCAAACAAAATTGTCAAAAACAATGACCTTAGTTACTCCATATGGTACACAGAAATAATTACGTTTCACTTACAATACAGATGCACTTAACAGTCATCAATAATCATTCACCACCAACACAGTATATTTTTAAATCACCTAAAACATCAAAAAGGTTTTTCTCTTTTCCAAAAGCCTAATAAAATTAATAATTTTGGATAAGTGATAAATCAAAAGAGGAGGCAGAATTGTCAATTGAAATAACCTAACTGCATTTTCTTTTATGTAATATTAAGAACATGAAAATAGAACTTCTCATTGGGAATCAAAAGACATAGTAATTCTGATTATGGTTTCCTTAGTCTACTTTTTAGAAAGTTTTCAATAAATGCCATCAGATAAGTTTCACTAGACATTGCTCTAGAAGCACAAAGTGACACGAGGCAGGTGTTAATATAATTGTTAATATTTGTACTGCTGGAAGATTAGTAACTTTTTAAAAGATGTACTAGGAATAAAGCCAGTTCTTCCCAAGAGATAGTTGAGTTTATCTTACTTTCACTCAGCAAATGTTTATTAAGATCTAATATGTGCATAGCACTGTTCTAGAAGCTATTCTAGAAATGGGAAGCAAGGATTTCTGGCTTTACTTGAAAATGGTTGGATTAATCCATTTTTATGACAAAATATGATAAGCATTTAAAAATCTCATCTCTAATAGAGGAATAATTATTAACTTTTTCCATGTACAGAAGCTAAGCTTTATTCCTTACAGTGGTGGCTTGGAATGAATAAAAACTTTGCATTTGACTTTAAACTTTTTTACACTGTCACGTGCAGACATGTCTGCTGACATATTTTAAGGGTGAAAAGTTATAAAAACTTTTCACTTAAATGTACAGAGATCAACTTTGCATCATCAAACTCCTGTCCTCCTGATTTATTGGAGAAAATTGTACCTCGCAATACACAGGAACTTTTCTGAGATAAATTTGTGCTGCCTTCCTGAATGGTGTAGAAAGCATGCTTTCATCAAATATTGCTCAATAAAGCACTCTAGTTTATCTCTACATTTCAATCCACATTAGTTATTCTCAAAATGTATTCAAGATCTGAGGCAAAATAAATAATACATCAAGTAAGATTTTGAGATGACCGATCCTGTGATATTAGTCCCAGTCAATTCTTTTCATAAAATACATAGTGATAGATCCAGTATCTGGGCTTTTCCATAAACAACAAAGACGTTAGTGATAATTCACATGGGTCAACTCCTTTTTTTTCTCATTTTTGACAAGGGGATTGAGGACAATCTACTTACAAGATAATTTTTTTTTTTTTGAAATACAAAAGTAGGAAAGTCACTTGAACTACAGTAAACATTAGTCTTGTTGATGATGATAAACCCAATAGAAAGGTGCTATAGAAATACAAGAACAGATAATGCACTGTCACAGGAATACAGTGGACCAAAGAATATTACTGAAAAACATTTATGGCACAATAGTTTTGGATTAAAAAGTTACCTAAAACCTGGCCACACCAGAAGTTTTTCTACGAACGTGGCTCCTACCGTATCTATAAAGATCTGGAAAGTACAACAACAGAAAAATCCTGATTCCTGATACAACAGTTGTACAATGAATTATTGCAGTTGTAACAGTATCTAGGTGCAAAGTTAAACGATAATTAATACTGAACTATCTGAACACTTTAGATTTACTAATGAGTATCCCCATGAGAAATACTGCAGTTCTAAAAGGAGTTTATTTGCACAGCCCACCATGGAACATGAACACTCAGCTTGTTGTAAGTGCACAGAAATTACCCCTTTCTACAATTATAGTTTATCATGCCTATTCTGAAGACAACATAAAGAAACTGAGATCACTGCTTCAAAGAATTCTAGCATGCATTATGATGGTTTCCTTCAGTCAATACAAATATGTTGTGTTTTTTTTTTCATATGTAATAATCTTCATCATAGCCAATGTTCATGGTTTTAACAGGAAAAAATTTTATCAAAATGTTTTCCATATTTTTTTTGTTTTGCATTCAACTGGAACATTATGTTCAAAGATTTATTTTATTTATTTTATTAAAAAAGAGTTCTGATCATAAGAAGCATCAATAGGCGGCATTTCATTGTGCTCATTCACAAAGTCAAAGGGCCACAGAATATTACTCTGTGTAACAGGTCAAACTGTCTAGAAATGCCATTTGGTGGTTTTATTCACATCCTTAAGATTGGAAGCTTTGTTTTTGTTTCATTTCCAACCTTCTTGCTTTGCTGCCTTAATCTGCAGAATATTAGTTTCTTCTTTCTTCTACGTTGAGATTCTTTTCACAGCCAGGACTCAAATTCTCTTAAACCCTATTCCGAGTGTCTTACAAAGCAGAAACTCTGACAATATTTCCTCCTGAGTACTCAGGAGATTCTGGCCTATCGTCTCCCTCTGGTGTGGTTACTGGAGGTGTTGGGATGCTTATTATTGCTGTAGTCACATAAGGTTGTTCACAGTTTAGTTTAACACACTCTTCCATTTTGGCATTTAAACTGGATCGGCTGATAGAAAAAAAAATTAAGAAAGTAAGTTGTTTAGTTAAATTTTTTTCATACAACTGAGGAATATGTGTTGTAATGCTTATAAAAACATTTTAATTGTCTAAGGAAAGTTATTATAATTAAAAATATCAAACCCCAAATCTTAATCTATGTTAAAGATGAATATAGTCAGTAATTAACATTAAATAAATTTCTAAAAGACAGTTTCACTTGGTTCCATCAAGTGTTTATCAAACTAAAAGTATTATTAAAAAATGTAAGAAAGAAAGAGCATCAAGTAAGATTTGGACAGCCTGGGCTGAACAAAGTAGTTTTATTTAAGACAGGACCTCTAAGAGTTTTGAGAAACCACTATGAAAGAGCCATATCACATTGATTTCTTAATTCTTTTGACCACAGAATATTTTTATTTTCATGTCTTTTTGGGATGTATAATGCCCTCAAATCTCTCAACTTAATGATGACCACATATTATAAAAATCAAAAAATTTATCTATTACTATCTAATACTTTAAGGTTTTCCCAAATGGTATTCTTGGATGAATTGTATACTCTATATGGAGAAGCGGATAAAAGGGAAATGAGAGAGAAGGATATACACAGAAGCTTGAACCTAATTATTTTATTTTCATGGAAAACATAATTAAGATGTTTATGTCCTAAGATTTTCTTGCTCGATACTTTTCCATTGTTGACTTCCTTTTATAAAGGATATAAGGCTGCAAAGCTAAAATATCTTTAAGATAGAAGTCTTATGGCTCCTAAGTTTAATTTTCTAGTCCCAGAGACATCCAATTTATGTAAATCGACATCACCTGAATTCAGAATCTCATCCAGATTTCAACAAAGACTTTTG